AAATCAAATGTTAAAGCACTTAGCAAAACTTAGACTACCAAAATCTCACCCCCTATAACTTTTTTATTTTTTTCTATAAAAAAACGAGATTTGGTATGTTAGTAAATGACATAAATCAGGATTTGATTGACGTATTCAATTGTTTTCGGTCACTTCCTGTTTCACCGGAAATTAATTCAACTTTTGATTTTTAAATGACACCCTCAGTATTTTTTTTTACTTTATTCGATAGAAATAACACTCTGAATAGAATGACATATCATATCTCAACTTTTGATATTTTCGCTTAAAAAATCGTATTTTAAATTTCAATCTAGCGTGCCATGGCCGTGTTAAAAATACTAATTTTTAATCAAGGAGCTTTGTAAAAATAGATTTGATCGTTTAATGTTTTTCGGATCTTATTCTGGCCAGTTAAAAGATGCCCAAACCGTATTTTTAATCATATCTCAATTGAATGTTACAATTTCAAATAAACCCTATCCGAAAATGTCAAAAGTTGACATGTGATATATCATTCTATTCAGAGTATCATTTTCTATCCAATAAAGTAAAAATCGAGGATGCCATTTAAAAATTAAAAGTTGTATTCATTTCCGGTAAAACAGGAAATGACCGAAAACAATTGAATGCGTCAATCAAGCCTAATTTATCATCTACTGACAAACTAATCTCGTTTTGTTATGCGAAAAAATAAAAAAAGTATGGCGAAATATTCTTTATAATTAAATAAAATAATATAATCGATACAGACATAATAATATTATATGATCTTCTCTAGCTAATACAATTTTTAATAAATAATTAAGGACCACATTTTTCCGTTTACATTTGGCTCGTATCTTGAATAGCTACTTTTGATACAGGTCGGTCTGGCAGAAGTTATCTTTGATTTTTATTTCAACGGCCACTGTGACACTTCTTTCCTCGATCGTACGGTATATAATTTAACGAGGTCTGAAATTCATTGGGAAATTAAGCGTTTTGACCACAGAATATTTATTATGTAAGATTCAAAGTTAAATAACCCATAACCGTTTTCTTCACATATATACACAATTTGGTTTCCTTCCTCATCTCATAACAACCACTGCAAATCTACTTTCTAATTTATTAATAAAAATTTTGATTTATTATAAAAATATAAACCACCCCTAAAAATTGAAAAATAACCATACAAATTTAAAATGAAGATAAAGATATGCAGTTTCATTAGGTTGTTATAGTGTTCTTAGGTTTCGTATACTGTTCTTCTTAATTTTATATCCAGATATCAGTTTCCATCTAGGTGATTTTTTCCTTTTCAATAATTTTTATAAATAGGCGCCATTTTATAATACCGTGTCAAAAATACATTATACTAGCCTATCTTACAATGAAAAAATTTGTCTGATATACAGGGTGGTCCGAATTGTATTCCGGAAACTTCGGCAGCATATTCTGCAGATAAAAATAAGTAAAAAAGTTCCTATAAATATATGTCCTAAAATGCTTAGTTTCGGAGATACAGGGTGTAGAAATTTAATTTTCATTTCGATTTTTTCCAAATAATTTCTGAAGTAACGTCAATATCTGGATGAAAATTGGTGTCTGGTAGTTTTTTGACATGAGAAATTTGATTTTGATGCCAGTATGACTTCTACTAGTAGAGGGCGCCACCGACATATTTTTTAACTGGTTTGAAGAGTAATAACTTTTCGTCCGTACCTGTATAAAACTACTGAGTAAAAAAAAATTATATTTACGACGTGTTTTACGTGAAAAAGGTCTCTTGGTAAAAATCGCTAGGAGTAATGGTTTTCGAGATATTTGGAATCGAAATTATCAATACCTGTCATCATTGACATAAATTAAACATTTTGACTAAATAGTTATTAGACTGAAATCATAAATTTGAAATGTTTTTGTGCCAAAAGTTCAACAGAAACTGTTTTATCATCATTTTTTGCAGAAAAATTTATGATTAATTTAAAAAACAAAATTTCCCAAATATATTATTTCAATGAAATAATTATCTACTCAACGTGTTTATTTTTCATCAATAATGACATGTATTGTCTATTTCCATTCTAAATATCTTAAGAACGGTTGCTGGTAACAATTTGTACAAAGAGATATTTTATACGTAAAAAGTCACAGAGATGTATTTTTTTTTGGCTCGGAAGTTTTATACTGGTACGGACAAAAAGTTATACGCTTCAAAAGTGTTAAAATGCATGTAGGTGGCGCCCTCTACTAGTAGGAGTCATATTGGCGCCAAAATCAAATTTCTCATGTCAAAAAACTCCCAAACACCAATTTTTATCCAAATATTGACGTTACTTCAGAAATTATTCAGAAAAAATCGAAATGTTTTTATTAATTAATCTTTTTTCTAAAGTTTCATTTTTAAATTATTCATTTAAAAATGAAACTTCTACACCCTGTATCTCTGAAAGGAAACATTTTAGGACATACATTTATACCAAATTTTTTACTTATTTTTATCTGCAGAATATGTTGCCGAACTTTCCGGAATACAGTTCGGACCACCCTGTATTTATTTAAATCTACTGAATAAATTAATGGTTATTTTGCCTATTTCATAATCAGAAAAAAAAACTCATTTCTGGTAATTTTTGGACATTGATGTATTTAACTAAACATTTAATTAAAAAAATAACACGATCAAAAATGCTGTGATTGATATTCGACAGCAGTATTATAAAATATGTTTCAAAAAATTCATTGCTTACCATTACTGCTTGAACCAAGAATAATTAATCGTGCAAGACGCCATAATCAGCTGACTTATTAGATATGTTTTTCGTTTACCTATTTATTTCTTTTCAACATCAAGAACATTGGTATAGTTATTGTATGTGTGTAATAAGACGTATTGAAATATAAAAATGTATCTATTTTTTTTTTTGTTAAATGTTAAAATCTTGCGAGTTGCGGACTTTTTGACAACAATATTGCTTTACACTGAGACATCCTTAATTAATTAAACACCGTTAAAGTGAAAAAATAGATGTAAGAAAAACAATAAATACTAGTACTACATATTCTAACAATTTTTATTGTGCAAAACTGCCAGAAACCTTCATATGGTCTTCTTTTTGGATAAAAATCTTCAGATCTTCAATCGACGAAATTTGATTCTAAAATCCTTCATTATGAAGGAAATCCTTCAATTCTGGCAACACTGCTGAAGGCAGAACTATAGTCAAGATTTCTGCAGTTGGATTCTGTAAACACACGTAGCAAGAAATTTCTCGCCAAGCTTATGATGTTTTAAGCCGATTGATGAGTCGAAAATATGTTTACAAAATCGTACTGCTGGTAGTTTGTTCGATATCACATTCGCATAATCTGGATGAATCTCTAAGATAATTCCATTTAATCATGTTCCAATATTATCTTTTGTTCTGCCAAACCAATTTCTTAGTCCGAATAAAAATAAAAATAACATAAAAACATATTCTTCTCTCCACTTAAGCTATCTGAGCTTGCCCAAAACGACATTGGCCATGAATGCCAACTTATAGCGGATTTTTAATGCGTTGAAAAAATTGATAAAAAATATAGAAAATTTTCAATATTTTTTTATTAAGGTCTCTTATTAAAAATTATAATTTTATTACACTATTTTGCTTAATTAATATTTTTTTCCATAGCAACTGTTAAAATTGCCTTATATCTATCAAAAATACTAGATAAAATAGTACTTTAACCGCAAGGGTAGATTAAATGATACTTTAACAGCGAGGATAGGTTAAAAACATTATTTCTTCGCGGACGTTTTTTAATTGCTTCCATTTTTGAAATTTTTGTATTCCTTTTCATAAGTTATTCAGGATTTAAATGGAAGTGGTTTGGATATGACGTTTGTCGTCTCAGCCTGAATATCTGTTGGTAATTTACTTATTTCGTTTTGAGCCATTTCTAGCTCCAATTCAATCAGCAATCGACACGAAAGACAAGTAAAAAATATTGACTCAAAACTGACCACTAAAGAGAGAGCTTTATTTATTTGTCAGATTACATAGAAACCAACGCCAACCCAGTACAATATTTTTTCTACTCGTAATAAATTCCTTGAAATAATAATTTCTGAATATTTTTTAAAACGTAACTCGCTATGGAAAAAAATATTGATTTATACAAGACGATAAAATTGCATTATCGTCTCCCGAAATTAATTAATCTTTTCGGTCGACGATAAAATGCCATTTTATCGTCTTGTATAAAAAATAACTAAAAATACTTTTGAATGTTGTAGTTTAAATTTGTCTCATCTACAGGTTATTGCAACAAAGTTGCTATTCTGAAAATCAATAGGTATCTATAGGTAATTAGTAGGTTAATAATTTTCTTTTCCATTGCCTTTCGAACTTTTTGAAGCGAAACTTTTTTACGCGCGCTGGGTATAAAAATTCAAGGCCGTGACACACGAGCTAGTAGTAACGAAAATTGGTAACGGCTTAGAAATATGTAGTGACACGCGACGTGTACTTGTGAGCAGTCCACGTGTTTATCAAAAAATTTGATATTTTAATAAAAAAAATTTGAAACTGAATCAAATTGTTTATAAATTTTTTTATTTTACGCTTATAAAACTATCTGTTACACGTTAAAAACTATTTTTTAAATGTAAAAAACTATTTGTTACACGTAAAAACTATTTGTTACAGGTAATAAAATATATTTTTTAATTTATTACTATTTCAAATATGTCCTTCAAATCCTCCAAGTTTCACTTCAAATATGCGCACATAATGCACACTCAATTTTTTTTAGAACACTATAATGCGTTAAAAATACATAGTACCACTCAAGGTGATTTTCAAAATAACTTTATTCATTAACCTCTCCCCAAAAAACGAAACCAAAAAAAAACTGCAAAAAATACCCCTTTCGAGGTACCATCTTCAGCAACCCACGCCGACCGGTGGTACTACTGTTCCCAAATAAGAAGCTCTGCGTGCGGTCGCATCGGCGCCATTCGCACCGCAGCGGTAACTGCAGCGTGACGTACGCGCCATTTTCCCGCCATTTTCAAAATCCAACGCGGCTCGGTACTTTCCCCCCACGACCGCGACGCACGGTACTTCGGCCAAACCGACCGTTCTCAACGATCGACGCTCATTTGTTCTCCGCCGTTTCAGGGGTAACTTTGACCCTTAAGTAGCTGAGTTGAACTGTGAGCAAGCGAGTGGTGCCCCATTAGTAAAGAAGAGAAGAGCGATAGGTAAAAAAAGTAGTACCCCGCATCCTGGTAAAAGATATTCATTTTTTTGCACCTTTATGGAACTTTTACTTTCTAGAAGTTTAATTTTTTTTTTATACATTTCATCTATCTGAATCAGTGAGAATCGTTTATAGCTAGCAAACGCGTAAACTAAGTACTTTTACTTTCTAAATTTACGAACAGGTTTCATTTGATGGTACTGACAACGTAAGATAGTTTGTTTCTTCTCAGGCCATTGATTTTCCTCGCAGACTATCATTTAACGCTTTTTTTGTCTTTGTTTTTCAGAAAAATGAGACAAATATTTTGGTCTTCCGCCGTTTTGGTTTGCTTCTTGGCGCTGGTGTCAGTGTCGGAATGCAGGAGCATGGTCAAAAGGGAGGCTAACCCAAGCATTGACCCCCACCATGAACACAACGTACGTATAAAAAAACATTTTTTGTATTTAACTGGAAAATTATAACAAACTATTTTTCTCAGTTTGCAGTAACATGCATAAAATTAATTAAATTAAATAAATGGTAATTATAGTGCGGTGAAATAAGTCAATTCTAATTAAAAGAATATTTAATTTTGTTCAATATAAAAAAATTAAACTACAATCTTCAACAAATATACGTGTACAAGTATACAGGGTGTGCTAAATGCGGAAAATTGAGAAAGTGATAGCTTTTAAAAAAATAAGTTTTTTTCAAAAACAGGTTAACACTAAAAAATATGTGTACAAAATCGAATGAAGCTTCGAGTATGTCAAATATAGCGTAACATTAAAGGAATCGAGCCCATTATAACAAAAATGACAGATAGTAGTGTAATTGGCAGTACTGTGTTTAGATCTGTCAAATTTATGACAGGTTACATAAAACATTATTTTTTATGTCTGTTACAATTTCACCACCAATAATAACAAAAAGCATTTCTTTCGTATTTTCAAAATATATATACAGGGTGATACTCACAAGGGTTTTATACAGGGTGGGTCTTAAATAAGTGCAAATATTTTTATGGGTGCTATAGTTCAACCCCAGAATCACTTCTTGGGTTTTTTTCGCCAAAAAAGATGTTGAAAATCGTGCACTTTCTTTTAAATTTTCCTGTATATTTTAGAAAACTTTTTAGAACTGCCTGAATTTTCCCACGGTATAATTTCTTAATCTCCTATATTACTATGTAGTGCCGAAACACTAAAAAAGATGCAAATACAGAACAATTCCGGCTCTCAATTTTTTTTAAAAATAAACCATTTTTTTAAATTTTTGAACTTGATAACTCGGTTATTTTGCTCTTATTTGTAAAACGGTAAATAGAAAATCTGTTTCTTTTATGGAAATCTACCTGCCCTGAAAATATTTGCACTTATTTAAGACTCGCCCTGTATAAATTAAAGAATAACAACCATATTTTCAAGTCGGTATTTTAGGACACCGTGAATAGCAACCCTGGTAACAAGACCATCTTTTATCGTTTTTATAAAAAAAATTACAATACGATTTAAAAGACATAATTTGTTATTAACCTCATAAATATTTGTCTTTTTGTTTCTCTCTCACTTACTTTCAATCTGTAAAAATATTTAGTATTTTTTTAAATTATTATTTTGGATCGAATATTTTACTTAAAATCAGAATTAAACAACTTGGTAGCGTGTTACACTATGTTAGCAATTATATCTATAATTGTCATAAACAATAATTATTAATATTTATTAGGATTACTATCCACTATATTTAATGCAGAAATAATATAAAATTTAATATATTTTTTCTATAATACATAATTTAAAAAATATGACAGGTTTATGTTACTATCGACTGTTGGTATCTCTCAGGAAAAAAAATTATTCTCTTTTTCTATTATTTTAAAACATATCTGAGCTCCTCTTCTTAATATAATTTTATATATGTTTTACATTAAATGTATATGATCACTGCCTATTCTTACCCAGCATGTCGACTCCTAATATGTTCTCATATTAATTTAATCACCCCTTTTAGGGAAATTTATTTAAAATCGGTTACTATTATTACTCTCAATAAGATAACCTTCAAATGTCTTGTTACATTAATTTAATATGTATCTAAACCTCCCTCTTAAGAGATTTAAGCAATAGCAGCCAAGTTTATTCATTAGTTACGTAAGAACGGCATTTTAGTTAATTCGGCAATTAAAAATTTATGCTACGTTCAAGAAACATGTTTTGGCAGACCTGAAAAATTCGGTCATTTATAAATTTGCCCACGTAATCTTAATGACCTATTACAACACGCCGTATGCAATAAATATATTACGTATTTGTATTTTTTGAGGTTACGTATGGAGCTCCAAAAACACAAGTTGTTGATGAGCTGTCATGTAAGCTTCGGGTTTTGACGAGGTGCATACAAGGACAGAGAAATAAGTAAAGATAGACAAGTTATAATAATTTTTTTTTCGCTTTAATCAAGTGGTGGTACCATAGACATTTATAAAAGATAGACTGGACATATTATATTGATTTGTTTTCATTTTTGTTCTAAATTCATCAAATTATACATTTTATATGTTTTATCGCAGAGAATTTATTTCTAAATTGGATAATAAGGTTTTCACAAGAAAAACTGTATAATCAAACTTAAGAATTCATACAAAGCAAAAGGCCTTAACTTGTTAAATAAAAAGCCGAAATCTGACTAAATCTTTAGATAAAAAAAAGAGTGGCAAAAAGTATTTAAAATTTAATTAAAGAAAATTAATTAATATATGAACTTGAACTTGTTGATAGACTTTATTAATAAATAAGTGGAAACCTATAGTTAATACCAAATAAACTTTTAGTAACGTGATTAAGCTTAACCGGCACAACGTTGCCCACTTTTACATATTTTCTTTTAATCAAAATATTTTAGGAAACAAAACTAAATTAATTATAAATATATAAACAGTTATGATTTACATCAACAAAACTCACCTCTTTAACAGCACTTAAGGGACATAAAAGGCCATTACTACCTCTTTCCCTTTCAAAATATTCTAATAAGGTTGTGATGAGTTTTTTGCAGCCCCTATTAAGCTATCTTGTACACTTCGCACTAAAAGAGGTTCTAAAAAGAACAATGTTCGACTGCGAGGTCTACTAGTAAACATTTTTAAGCTTAAAGTATCACAACACAATTCATTTAAACCAAAAACTCGTAATACAAAACTAAAGTGTCAAAACGAATGACAATGTCAGGAAATAAATAAATAAAAGTGGCAACTTGACATTTTTTACCGCACAGCTACCACCTGAATCCCCAGCGGAAAATTAATATTCCATTATTGGCAACAATGAATTTAAAAACCACGCCCTCGATTATGTAACTAAAAGTTTATTTGGGATCGAATATAGTAATTTTCTGTTTACATATAGTTTGTATACCTTGGATACCTTTAGAACAGTAAAGTTTGTCTTTTTTTATATTATTTGTCTCAGTCTATGATATTAAATTAAAATAATACATAATAACTACACTTAAAATTTTGTTCTAATAACTAAATATCATTCAAACGAAAATACTAAGTCAATGACACAGTCTACGAATTTACAGAATCTACTACAGCCGTACTAACCTACATTTTAGAACGAGTTTATTTGTTACTGTATATTTAAAACGCTCTTCTGGTTATGGTACATTACAGTGTGTTCTGGTAGGTTCTCTGGTACCGATTGCGTAAGTGGAATATTAAATGGAACTTCCATCCAATAAGAGATACGATCGAGGCGTTATATAATCGGCCATTTCTTCTTTGGCTTTTACTTTCAACGAAGATCGCAGAGAATAACAATTATCGAGAGTGTATTAATAGATTTTCGCCGTCTTGGAACAACTGTTTAAGAGTTTTTTTCTGTTAATTATATTTTATACGGAGAAAAATGTGTTTTTTAAACAAGAAATAATTCATTTTAATATACAGGGTGGTCCGAATTGTATTCAGGAAACTTTGGCAGCATATTCTGCAGATAAACATAAGTAAAAAAATTCGTATAAATTTATGATACAGGGTGTAGAAGTTTTATTTATATTTCGTTTTTTTTTTTCAAATAATTGCTTAACTAAAGTCGATATTTGAATGAAAATTGGTGTCTGGAAGTTTTTTGACATGATAAATTCGATTTTGATGTCAATATGACTCCTACTTGTAGAGGGAGCCATCTACATGTTTTTTAACTGATTTGAACCGTAATAGCTTTTTGTCCGTATCTGTATAAAACTACTGAGTAAAAAAATTACATTTCCGTAATTTTCTACGTAAAAAAATGTCTCTTCGTAAATATTGCTACGAGCAACCGATTTCAAGATATTTGAAATGGAAATAATCAAAACAATACAAAAAAATGAAAATATATGTTGACTAAAATTTGGGAACTTTTAATTTTTTTTAAGCTAATCCTAGAAAAAAAAATACGATAAAACAGTTTCTGTTCAACTTCTGCAAGAAAACATTTCAGATTTATTATTTCAGACTAATAAATATCCAGTCAACATGTATAAATTTTGTCAATTATGACATGTATTGACTTTTTCCATTCCAAATATCTTGGAAACTATTACTCGTAGCGATTTTTATCAAGAAACCTTTTTTAGGTAAGAAATGACAGAAAGGTATTATTTTTTCATTCAGTAGTGTAATACAGATACGAACGAAAAGTTATTAGTATTTAAAACAGCTAAAAATATGTAGGTGGCGCCCTGTAGAAGTAGAAGTCATACTGATATCTAAATCGAATTTCCCATGTCAAAATACACCCAGACACCAATTTTCATCCAAATATCGGCGTTAGTTTGTGATCACCGAAACGAAGCATTTTAGGACATAAATTTATACGAACTTTTTTACATATTTTTATCTGCAGAATATTATACTGCCGGAGTTTCCCGAATACAAATCGGATCACCCTATACATTGGCACTATTTATTAAAATACACATTGTATTGTTTTAACCCCACAAAAACAAGCCAAATTTAAACAATCCCGTTTGCCTATTTATATTTTCATTTGCCCACAAATTTAATATAATCCTGTGCTCAAGATTTGACAACATCACTGGCATAATTTCACAGACCTTCTTATTAAAACAAAAAAAGAGAGTCAAATATTGACATTTTTTACAGGACATTTATTTACATATTTATTTACGCCTAAAGCATTTAGCAATTACATAAATAGAAGTTAAATAACATATGATATCATACCATATAACTTATTGTATCATTTATAATCTTTAAGGTCGGAACACAACATGACCTGCGCTACTGTCTATTCTATATATTCTGCGATGCTGTCTTGTCTTTTTATATAATTTGTTTGAGGATGTTACTCAAATACATTTATTCAAATTAATTCTGTTGTTATATCCATAATCTAGAAAAATATTAAATTATATTCAATTTGACATTATTAATTAACATATCCAGTCATTTATTTTGAAGGTAAAACGACAAAACCAGTGAAAATTCCCTCCTTAAACTCTACGCCTCTCAGAACTTCATTCGTATCAATCATTTCAATCAGAGCGTTTATTAGAAAAACATAATAACTTATTTCGAAGGCAAACGACTTTAAATGAATAGATTTCCAAACCCCGCGCTCTACGCCTATGAGATTTATAAAATATTTATTTCTTAGACAAATACAACTAAGTAGTCGTTTTTGAATGTACTAAACTTAAGACACGGTGTGCTGTTGCCCTCACAGCCAATAAGGATTTAGATTGTGTTTTGCCATGTTCTTGAAACGGGAAAGTGTTGACCTTGGTGCAAAATCTGCACCAATGCAGCTCTGCACACGCGGCAACCGAGAAATGCATAAGGAAAAGGCACGAAACTTATTTATTCCAAATTGCGACAAATAGTAACGACGGCTATTATTATTAAATTGAATAGTATGTGAAGGTGTTGCTGCTTTCCCTCACCAGTTACCTAAGATTGTGAAGCAGGGGTATAAATATATATGACACGCAGTATATTATTTAGATTTTCGCATTGAAAAGTGCGGATATAATATTGCTATTGTGTGATTAACTATTGACACACTTTTTAAATTTTCCAAGAGTAGAAATCTCAATATCTTTGAGATATTCCCGAATACTATTTCACAGCTACACCGTATAGCCCCATCTTCACTATGCGTTCATGTGATTCGTCAATGCGTCGATTTGATGCGCTATAAAACACAATGAACGAATTACCGAACGAACTAACACATCGCATCGACGAACCGCATCGGAGCATCGCGTCAATGTGAACCACATCATACTCATACTAACTAAGCTTACCAGTGTTGCCAGAAATTTTCCAACGAATTTCTTCAACGGAGCCAACAATGTCTTATGATAATTTCACGCACACACTACATCACTGTCTAATTAGTCCAACTTTAACAACTAGTTATCATTTTGTGACAGTTAAAACAAAAAAAATTCTGAGAAATTTGCCAAAAATGCAAACTTATCCTATATATCAGAGAAACTGATATGATTCTGTTAGTTGGTGAATGCAGTGTGCATTCACCAATTAATAGAATACTTAAATGCTCCTGATTTTTCCTAGTCTGGGCTTTTTTTATGTGGATATGTTGAAGACAGTGTTTACAAAACCCGACCAACTATTGCTGACAACATGAGAGAAATTAATGTAGCTACGTTTCGAGGTAGAACTACACATATGCCATTTAAAATGAAAAGCTCTTTTAAAAAAACTATCAATTCATGCAGTTAACAGGAAAGGAAGCATTTTGAGCATTTGATTTCATCTAGCTAATTTTTGTCTCATAATTATAGATTTATATCTAGCTTTAATTCTGTAATAATTAAAATATGTTTTAAACGTGTATATTTTTATTACCGTTGAGTATTTTACTCTACCTTACAGGCACCTAAATTTTAAATTTCAGATAATAAAGATCTACTGACGCAAAATCATAACCTAACCTTAGTAATATTTTGAAAACATGTGAATTCCCCATTGAACACGGGAATAATATACTGGGTGTTCCATTTAAAATAAAGGAGTAACTTGCTTTTAAAGGTGACAAATGTTCCATATTAATTTTGTCTCACCCTGTATAACTTTTCGGGTCAAATTTAAATTTGGTTTAACATACAACGGTTACTGTAATTATATGTCAGGCTATACTAGGTCAACTAGAATTTTGGTAGTTGTTAACGAAATTTAAAATTTACTCTTCATTTTCACAACATGTGAAATATGTCAAAATCCTTAGATTTTAGGTTCTTTAATAAAACTCACCTTTATTTTTTTGTAGAATCAATTAATATGTATGTATAGAGTTTTCCACTAGAAAAAACACAACTTTGATGTGTAACTTTTTTTGGGGACACCCTGTATAATTATATATATATTTTTATAAAATGCTTTCAATTAACCCATATATTCTGTGAAAATTTAATTTCGATATAAACTACCGTTATTCTTGGAGCCTCCGCGTCGTATGTGGGCGCCACCCTGTATGTAATAAGAGGTATTGAAAGAAGTATTAAAATCTTTCGAACTACGGATTTTTTGACAGCAACAGTGCTTTAAACTGAGGCTCCTTAATTAAACACCGTTAAAGTGAAAAAATAGATGTAGGAAAAACAATAAATATTACTACTGCATATTTTAACAATTTTTATTATGCAAAACTGCTAGAAACCTTAATATTGTCTTCTTTTTTGGATAAAAATCCTTCGCCCCTTCAATCAACAAAATTTGACTGTAAAATCCTTCATATTGAAGGAAATGCTTCAAGTCTGGCAACACTGATGCGTACTGACTACAAATCTGTGAAGAAATTATTCGTAGTAAATTTAGCCAATATGTTATCTAACATCATGCGAAAACAAAAGATCAACAAAAAGCATGAAAAATAGAAAGTTCAGAAGAAGCAAGCGTAAGCAATTTTGTCTACAAATGTATGTGATTTGCATAAAGCATTAGAACGAAAATATTTTGTATATGCCGGATTTCCCCAAAAGAAATTATATAACTGATTATGACGAACGCTTATATGGCACGAAATAAATGAGCCAAAAAGTTGCGTAGTTAAGCAATGCATCTTCTATATTAGTCTTTAACTTACGCATTTTTTGTTATATACCTCATTAAGTGTCTAAATATCATTTAAATATAGCACAACGAAAGTCACAAAAATCCATAATAATTTTCCTACTTTTACTCTAATTTTTATAGCTTCAAAATTATTACTATAGCTCATACAGAAATATTTAAAAAAAAGTACACAAAATCAAAATATAACCAAAAGTAATTATAATTTCTATACACACTAAACAACGTAAAATAAATTAAATAATTTCAGAATTAACGTTCCATAAGTACCGTAAGTTTTATGATCAAGCAGGCTTTGGCTTTGACTGTCATTATACAGGGTGAGTCTTAAATAAGTGCAAATATTTTTAGGGGTGGTATATTATGCGGTATTTTTTCGCCAATTTTTTTTATATTTGGAATATTTTGAAAAGAAAATGTTTTAATTTTAAGTTAAAAAAACATAATATTTTGATGATATGGCAACATAGGTAGTAGATTAAATTTACAAGAAAGAAAACCCAGAAAAGATCCAGTGGTTCTCAGAATTTAACCAATAGTTATTTTTTATACAAGACGATAAAATGGTATTTTATCGTCGACCGAAAAGATTGATTCACGAACGATGAAATCGCGAGTGAATTAATTTCGGGAGACGATAATGCAATTTTATCGTCGTGTATAAAACAATATTTTTTTTCCATAGCGAATTACGTTTTAAAAAATATTCAGAAATTATTATTTCAAGGAATTTATTACGAGTAGAAAAAATATTGTGCTGGGTTGGCGTTGGTGTCTATATAATTTGACCAATAAATAAAGCTGTCTCTTTAGTTGTCAGATTTTACTCAATATTTTTTAATTCTCTTTTGTGTCGATTGCTGATTGAATTGGAGCCAGAAATGGCTCAAAACGAAATAAGTAAACTACCAACAGATATTCAGGCTGAGGCGACAAACGCCATATCCAAACTACTTCCATTTAAATCCCGAATAAATGAAAAGGAATACAAAAATTTTCAAAAATGGAAGCAATTAAAAAACGTGAGAGAAGAAATAAAGTTTTTAACCTATCCTCGCTGTTAAAGTATCATTTAATCCTCCCTTGCGGTTAAAGTACTATTTTATCTACTATTTTTGATAGATATAAGGCAATTTTAACAGTTGCTATGGAATTTTTTTTTCATTTTCAAAGTAAAATAACTCGGTTTGGAGTTATTTGAATAACGGTAAAGAGAAAATATGTTTCTTTTGCCGAGATCTACCAGCCCTGAAAATATTTTCACTTATTAAGACTCGCCTTGTATAGAGCACTCTTCATCATAAGAGTTAATATTGTATAGGTAGGGTCTTCTTCATATACAAGGTGACCCATGCAGCGTTAAGAAAAAACTCTACAACAGGTTTTCTATTTATCATTTTCACTCCAAACTTTTTATAAAAATAATCAAATCAAAATTATTACTATTTATAAATTATGCTTTTTAATTTGTGAAATTTAAATCTAAATCTCAAACCTCTAAAACACTATAAATACACAGAGTACACAAAACACCCTATTTTCGCCACTCTGGACTCACGTTTTGTTAACTACATACGATGATCTGGGATTACGATCATCAGCAGATGAGATTAAAACTTATTGCTTAGCTAAAGGACACCCTACACGTTCGTGTCAAATGAGAATTTGTCGCTAAAAGGCACTATCTTACAGGATCATCACAACCTCGACGATTATAGGGACAAAAGAAAGATCGAAGTGATCAAGGGTGTTAAAAATGCTCTATTGGGATTCGTGTTTGACGTAAGTAATGTCTGAATGCATTTTTTGAAATATTTAAACTTGCTTTGATTATAAAAAAACAATGAGTTAAATAATATTTCAATCATCTCACACTAACTGTTTTTGGAGAAAGCATAACATTTCTGGTGATACTAACATTGTTAACTTTAGTACATAATTTTTTATATTTACTTCATCATTATTTGGGTATTATATTATATTACAGGGCATTATAATCCATGAAGGCCTTCCAAAAAAAATTTCCGGTAAATAAGTCCCTAGAAACATTTTGATAGAACAAAGCAAAAATATAACTATGCACATTGCACATTAAAGTATTAATTATTATATTTTGCATAAAAAAATATCAAAAAACTGAAATAATGATGAAATAAATAATTTTCTCAACCTAGTCTCTCAACATTATTAATTTATTGAAAAAATGAAATTTACTTTTTCATCTTTTCTAATATGTATAAAAAACATATAAGGTTCATTCTCCACTATTTTACATACTCTATACTTCTTTATTTTTTTAGATAAAAAAACGAGATTTAGTATGCTAGCAGTATAATATGACATATATTAAAAATGATTGACATATTCAATTATTTTTGGACACTTCCTGTTTCACCGGAAATTAATACAACTTTTGATTTTTAAATGTTACCCTCGGTATATTTCTACTTTATTTGATAAAAAATGACACTCTGAATAGAATGACATAATATGCCAACTTTTGATATTTTCACTTAAGAAGAAATCGTATTTTAAATTTCAATCTAGTGTGCCATGTCTGTGTTAAAAACATTAATGTTTAATCAAGGAGCCATGGAAAAATATTTTTAATCGTCTAATGTTTTTTATTTCTTTCGTGTCCTGGCCGGTTAAAAGATGCCCAAATCGTATTTTTAATCATTATTAATCTTATTTTTTTCAAATGGAACAAGAGTGGCTCATTAGCATATTTGGAAAATCCATTTTTTTACGAATTATTTGTACTACACACTTGGTATTTCGAGTCAAATTGTCGTTATGAACCGCATGTGACAATTTCAAATAAGCCATATCCGAAAATGTCAAATGTTGACATATAATATGTCTTTCTTATATTTAGTTTAGTCATTTCCGGTGAAACAGGAAGTGACCAAAAACAATTCAGTACGTCAATCAATCCTAATTTATGTCATATACTTAAATACGAAATCTCGTTTTTTATCTGAATAAATAAGGAGGTTATAGGAGTGAGCCACTTTTGAGACGCATCCGGTATATTAAAACAAAACCCTGAACTCTAACAAAAACCTCAAGTTTTATCAGAAATAAAAATCCCCTCACCATCTCCACCAAACCTACTTGTATTTCTCCACGCATTCTCTGTCTCTGTATCTCCACAGAAAATCAACAAATTCATCGATCACAAGACTCACTGGGTCGACCAACTCGACAAGCAGAACATTCTCAAGAACAAGGCCCACGGAATCGAACCTCCAAAGGACCCCGTGATCTCCCTGTCCAGCATCCTCTCAGAAACCATCGGTCACAAGCTCGAATCAGCTGGCCCCCTCATCAACGTTGTCGTGGGCAAATTGGGCAGCGGATCCTCAGGGGGATCCGGTCACGGCAGCGGAGGCGGGGCAGGTTTCAACTTCGGCTCCCTTGTCGGGGGACACCAATAGAACCAGCTCAAATCGTCGAGTACTGATGTGGTCCAAGACCAAACCCAGTTAGAACTGCGCTGTGAAAGATATATTGATCTAAGAATCTGCTCACAACATCTAGTTTTACCTCGAATATATCTTTCACGGCTTTAATCAAAGGTCGACAGCATGAAGGTGTTTCAAAGTGTTTCAAAAATATCTTGCATCGTGAATAGTGTGTTTTCTTCAATATACTATAATCAAAAAACTTGTTTTGAATAAATTTTATATCATCAGAAGATGATTATATCTAAATTTCAACTTCTAGCATTATTTGCAGTGCCAGAAGTTGATTTTTGTTCTCTGACAGTATCTGTAAGTGACTCGATCAAATCTTCTGATAACAATAATGTAGTTAACAAAACGCAAATCCAAATAAAAAAATCATTTTTTCAAGACATATTATAAGGGTGTTAAACTATCTTAAAGAAAAATCTTTGTGGTAAATAAAACGTTAATACGCTGCTACAATACACTAAGACAATAAGTTTTCTTACTATTATCCGGATATCACCATAACCAAGCTCTTCTCAAATTATCAACTATGGTGAAAGTTGATTTTTATTCTTTGTCGCCAATAGTAGATGATTAAAGCGAAGGCAACATTATTTTTCTAGGATTTTGTGTAAATGTTGATGGTAAAAAACGAATAAAACATACAATGTTCCAACTATTTTGATATCTTTGTTATTAGTCTGTTTGTTAACTTTCATATATTTTTCAGATCATTCAAAATAAAATCTAATTATTTAATCAATTTCTGGGAAATGTAGTTCTGACAAATACAACAAATCCATCGTTGATTTATGCGGAAAATAATAGTGGTTCTTAAGTATTTATTTTTAATTACATATTTCTATACAAGTAAACTACCACATCTACAATACCATTATTTAAGATGATTTGAGTCTATTTTGCTACAAATATATCTAAAAATGTATATATTCTGCATTGATTTTCTTTTTAGCGTTACTTTTTGTGTTCTTCTTTTGGATCTATTACTGCTAGTGTTCCAGCTATATTTTTCTCTTTTATTTATTTCTTAATTCTTCATTTTTTATGTGCTAATTAACTCCATCATAATCAGAATGACTCCAATAAATTTTAACCAAACTAAAGTAGGTTTAATTGGATAAATCCAAGATGCCTATCTCTGTGATAAATATATAATGCTGTAGGCATATATAATGCTGTAGGCACTTTTTAAATATATTTGACATAAGAGTTACCCTAAATGTGATATAATGAAATGTATAAAAATAAATGTCAATCCAAACCTACTTGAAAGACATAATTCAAGTATTTTATAACAAAAAAATGCATGTCTAAATATGAAAAAACATATACATATAGATATTTGATTTTTGTTAACCACAAAAGAGATTTGAGTGACCAATATAAAATGTATTAAATAATTATACCAAATTAAAGAAACACATTCATGCTGATGCTTTTGAGTTCCTCGGTATTTCGAGGAGCCTTTCTCTTCCTGCATTTAAATTATTATTTTTTTTCTCGTGACAGATATAAATTCATTTTCATCAAAGCTAGATAATTGAGTTATTGTAAAAGAGAGGCCATCAAGCTCATTAAAGATTACAACTGACATTTCTATATCTCCTATCCTATTTTCTTTTCTTTTCCCTTCACAAAATAAAAACTTATTTAAACTTATTTAAGAGATTTTTTCCATTTAGATTTAAATATTTTTAATGCCTTTTCTTATTATAGAAAAAGATAAATCTAGAATTTTATTTCGTAATTGTCTTGAAAGAGTTCTATTCTAGTCAATTTATTAGATCAAATAAATAATAATTTTAAAAAAATATATATCCCTTATGTCGCTGTAATCTTTAGTAATAAGTATTTAAAAAAAATGCCATTATTCTTGCATATAAACATTACTTTCTTTCGAATTCTTTGACAATTTTAAATTGTAAATAATTATTATAAAGTAGTTGATATTAATTTTAAACTGCTAGTAGTTTGTAAATAGTATTTTTTATATAATAAAACGTTATTTATAAAATAAGTATTGCTGTATGTGTTTTCCCTTCCTGTTCTAGAACGGATATTTTTGAGTCACCCTCTATACAGTGGAACGTACCGTTCAAATTCCTAGACCCCACCTTGAAAGCATTGATCTAGTTTAAAATTATATATGCCCATTTGTGTAAGCTGTAATAATATATCAGCATTTAACTGCACAAAAAAAGAAAGGAAATAAAAAAAACTCTGCAATTTATTGGAAATTGACATTAGAATTAATATGTTGCCAGGACGTATTTGTACTACATAACACAATAACTGATTTATTGTTTTTTCTTACATTTTATGTAAAGTGATATGAAAAATTATCCATATCATTTAAAAATTGACAATTATGTTTAATATGATTTGATAAGTACTAAAAAATATTTTTTTATAAATGCTATACTTAAAATAGATGTTTATGATAATGAACTGTTCAACTTGTGTGGCTCTAACTGAAAGATGTTTATATTATACTAGTTGAAGCCTGGCGCATCCGCCACGACATCAGGAAAAAAAATACTTTTTATTTTTTTTAATTACATGAAAAACAAAAAATCCGGCGACGACAGTTTTTAAAAGAGCCAATTAGCTATCTTTTAGTAAAAAAGCAACTTTCTAGAGCAAGTAGTTACTTCAGTAGAGACGACACACATATATATATTAGCAATATATATACAAAATATATATACAGCTTTATGTATATATAATAAATATATATATATATTATATTTATATATATATTTTTCTAATTTCGAAATATATATATATATATATATAAAAATAAAGTATATAGAAAATTGTTTTGCTTGTCGTAAAGGGGAACCAAGCTCCACTCCCACAACCGGTTTCTGGGCCTACCCTTCATCAGATTGGGCTGTCCAGGGGCTGGTTCTCACCGATACGACAAGCAAAACTTCTTCTATATCTACAGACGATGTCGTAAAGTGTCGGTGAGATATTAGTGCATCTCCGTCAAAGATGGTAAAGAGCGTTTTCGGCCCGCAAAAATTAAAAAAAAAAAAAAAAAAAAGAAAATTGTGTTGCTTGTCATAAAGGGAGAACAAGCTCCACTCCCACAACCGGTTTCTGGGCCTACCCTTCATCAGGTGGGCTGTCCAGGGGCTGGTTCTCACCGATTGGCAAGCAAAACTTCTTTAATATCTACAGACGATGTCGTAACATGTCGGTGAATTATTAGTGCATCTCCCGTCAAAGATATTTAAAGAGCTTTTCCGCCCGCTAAAATATGTGGTTGAATGAACAAAATGCTTACAGCTTTAGTATATCAATAAAAAATATTTTAATGTAGTTTTTATGTTGGTATTTTTCTAACCACGTTAAAATCCGAGGAAGGAAGAACAAATTTAAAAAAAATAAAAAGTAACAAAGAAAATTGTTTTTGCTTTGTCGTCAAGGGGGGAACCAAGCTCCACTCCCACAACCGGTTTCTGGGCCTACCCTTCATCAGGTGGGCTGTCCAGGGGCTGGTTCTCACCGATACGGCAAGCAAAACTTTTCTATATCTACAGACGATGTCGTAAAGTGTCGGTGAGATCTTTTTAGTTTTATTTTTTTTTAATTTTTCTCTACTTTCGATTTTCGAAAATTAAGCATATATATATATATATATATATATATATATATATATATATATATATATGTAGATTATTTCCCAAACCAATAAATTAAATGATACCGTACGATCGAAAAAGAACGGTGTCCAGTTGGCTTGGAAATGACGATCGATGACATTCCCCATATAAAATAATAGAGATCTTCATTTCACAGCCATCGCTGATGCCGTATTTTTTTGATCCTATGGTATTTGTTAATTCGTGACATAAGCAAAAAAGTACTAGCTTAAATTTAGTCTAAACATGGTCATATTTCGAAAAACAATCAATATGACATCAGCATGTTTTTGGAATGGTAATTAGATGGAATATTTCACTCATGTACAAAAAATTCCATATGAAGCGGGTAATTTTCGGCGAACATTGCCCGCTAAAATCGAAAATTACCCGGCGAAAATTTCTCGCAGCATGTCTAAGTGACAATGACCCATTTGTCACTTAGACGTAAATTATTTTTAATAGGTATTCGAAAAGTGTCTCGATTTGGAAACGATTCTTTAAGTGCAATTGAAGAAAAAGTTGCCGAAAGAAAGCCGAAAAGCACTATAATTAATCACCAGTATGTACGCGGAAGGCGAGGAGCTCGAAAGAGTAGAGAGGTATGACTACCTGGGTACAAGTGTCGACTGCACCGCGGATTATTGTTCAGAAATAAAGATTCGCATTGAGAAGGCCCCTGCATCCTTTGTGAAGATTAAGAAGCTGCTCTGTAGCCGCGATTTGAGCCTAGATCTGAGAACTCGTATGCTCAAATGTTATGTATTCCCAGTCCTTATGGAAGCTTGGACCCTCAACGAGCTTTACGAGCGGAAACTGGAGGCCTTCGAGATGTGGACATACCGTAGGATGTTGAGAATACCATGTACAGAATATGTAACCAACGTGGAGGTTCTGAGAAGAATGGGGAAGGGCTTAGAGATCCTCAAGGAAGTGAAAAAAAGAAAATTGCAATATCTCAGTCATATCATGAGAGTTAACCAGGGAAAAATAATAGGAAAAAGATCTGTTGTAAGGAGAAGAATATCCTAGCTCAGAAACCTGCGAAAATGGTTTAATGTCACGTCATCTGATCTATTTAGGGCCGCAGCTTCCAAGGTCAAAATAGCAATGATGATAGCCAACCTCCAATATGGAGACGGTACATAAAGAAGAAGATGTATGGAAACAGTTTATGGACTTTATAAAAGATAGAAACTACATTTTGGATGCGAACATCTCAATCTCGGCAAAGATATCAGTGGTCACCCTAGAATTTGAGATACCCTGTCGAGCAGTCCGTTCAAAAAATTACAACCTCGAAAATATATTTGGATCGTCCTAAAAACTTATTTCTAAAACGAGCCAATATTTTTCGCAATTTTTCTAAAAAAGATTGGCAGTGAAAATATCTAATTGAGAACCCTATACTGTAGACTTTTCTCTGGTTCACCCTGTATATAAATACTGGTTCACCCCGTATACTAAAGATTGGACAATTTTTTTTGAAAAATATCACATTTAATCATTCGTTCAGGATACCACTATAAATATTGAAACATGCATTCATAGTGACAAAAAAATATTTTTTGTGGGCAATATGCAGTACAATATACAGGGTGGCCCATCGAAAACGTTCCGCAAGGCATAACGGCCAGGGTAATTTTTTTTCAGAAAATTCAAAAACACGTCAATTTTGTTTGTGAGGGGGACAACTTTTGCCCCAAAAATGATTGCAAAATCTTCAACCCTCTAAGCGGGGGTGTCATCCCCCAACTTTTTTCAAATGGGAAGGGGGGGTCAAGTGGTACCGCAATGAAAAGGGCTTTTTATTCTCTATACTTTCCCGCTTCGTTTTTGAAAATCGGTCGAGTCATTGAGAAAATATGAAGGATTGAAATTTGAAAAGTTTATTTAAACATTTATCAGAGTAAATGATAAGGATAAATTCCTTCGACCAATTTGCTGTTTTTTCTTATTATTTCTAGATGTTTACGCATTTTTTCACTAGCCACAAGGTTGAACGATCAGGTGCGGCAGTTGCTAGATAGCTGTTCTGTGACTTGTTAACACTTATGGTGTACTCACTTGCAGAAAAAGTGGAAATAATCGAACTTTATTTTAAAAATAATGAATGAATGTCGGGTTCCGCAGATATTCAATGAATGTCATCCTGAAAAACACCTTTATGGCAAAATTGTTCGCGAGTTAGTAGCAAAATTTCGCGAAACTGGTTCCGTTATGAATAAAAAGAGGCAGAGGGAAAACCCTGTAGTAAATGAAGCTATGGAGGTATTCGTATTGGGCCAAGTTGCCATGGATAGTACGCTGAGTACAAGAAAATTAGCCGGCGTGAATCGTACAAGTGTCCAAAAGATATTTAAAAAAAACAAGTTCCACCCGTACAAAATTCAGTTGGTACAAGAACTCAACGAAGACGATTTTGATCGTCGCTTGCAATTTTGTGAAACTATGAGTGAACGAGTGGCGAATGATAATAATTTCCTATTTAATAACCAATCGGCATAACTCTCGGTACTGGGCTGAGGACAACCCCAGGATTTTTCACGAGGTGCACACACAAAACCGTCAGAAATTGAACGTGTGGGTTGGTATTTTTGGAAATTCTATTGTAGGTCAGTTTAACGATATTGAGAAGAACTTCAACGCACAAGTCACAGAACAGCTATCTAGCAACTGCCGCACCTGATCGTTCAACCTTGTGGC